CAGTCATATTGATATTTACTTATAAGTTTTACTGCCATGTATGCACACTGGTCACTAATCACACACCAGTATTATAGGTATAACTGATATCCTATGTCAGAGGCGATCTTCCAGATGTGCCTTTACAGGCCTCAGCCATGTAGCTATAGATGTTGGCTCCCAACACTGTACCTCGGGCGCTTGGTGGTTGTCATTTACCCGATTTGCAATTTGTCACTACTATGCCCTGGGGAACAGAAAATTTTCTGTGCAGAAGCAGGTTCTCAGATTTGATCTTTTATGTATATATTCATTCTCTTTGTTCTGAACTTACCTTGTGATTGGAATACATTTTCTGATGCATTTTGTAAATTAAAGAAGCTGCACTGTATGTCCAACTATCTATGATCTAATGTTGCGAGAAGAACACAATCTACTTGTTATGTTGTTCTTGCAGGTTCCCTTTCAGTAGATTTTATTCAGTGGCTCCTCTTGACATTTCAAAGCTGATTGCAGCATCAGTTTTGTTTCCTCATATTTTCTTCATTATTTGGTGTCTGCAGCTATCTTTGTAAACAAGCAGCATCTTATTACCAATTCACCCTAACATCATTTAACTTAACTTTATATTTTTTAGTTATTATTTCAGGTAAAGTCCACATCCTTATACCTTGCTTACTGTCTTGCTTTATTTAAAATGACCCATTTATGTAAATTCACTGGACTATTTCATCCCAATTCTATTTCTTTTTAAATTCATTTTCTCTAAAATGTATTCTTCAGAGAGATTTTTTTTTTGAGTTGGGGTCTCACTCTGTCGCCCAGATTGGAGTGCAGTGGCTACTCCCAGCCACCGCAGCCTCGACCCACTGGACTCCAGCAATCCTTCCGCCTCAGCCTTCCGAGTAGCCAGAATTACAGGCGCGCGCTACCACGCCCGGCTACTTTTTTGATTTATTGTAGAGATGAGGTCTCACTGCCCAGGCAGGTCTCAAACCCGTGGGCTCGGGCAATCCACTCACCTCAGCCTCCCAAAGGCGCGGGATTACAGGCTGACCCACCAAGCCCGGCTTCAGAGAGATTTTTAAAGATGAATTGGCTAGAAGACCCTTGGGAATTTGAGTTCCCACAATCCCCAAAGTTCTGCCTCCTAGGACAGATGAAGGAGGGTGTGGAAGTTTGTCTGTAGGTCTGCCTACTCTGTAGCTCAATGGGGCAGCTTGACCTCAGTTTGTTTTCAGCCTGAAGACTTAGGTTCTGCTCTTTCCCTTGCCATTCTGTTCTTTCCCTAAGACTCACTCTCTTACTGAGTCTTTGTTTTTCACCTTCTCTTTGAAGTTAAAAATCCTTCCTGTTTTCCTTTGAGCCTTTTTTGCTTTTTCATTTGCCATGAATTGCTAGGCACTAATTTATATTTGTTAAAAATTGATTTTTAAATTATCAGGAGAGAATGAATGAATGGACTTATCCATTCTGGGACAGATTACAGACATTTCTGAAATTTTTTACAACAATCGTGTGCTGTAGATATTACTTTTCTTATTATAAGGAGGAAACTGGGGATATGAGAGGTTTTTCCAGTGGTTGTGTTTTGTTTTGTTTTTTTTGAGTTGGAGTCTCACTCTGTCGCCCAGACTACAGTGCAGTGGCCGCTCCCGGCCACCGCAGCCTCGACCTGCTGAGCTCTGGCGATCCTTCCGCCTCAGCCTTCCAAGTAGCTGGAACTGCAGGCATGCGCTACCATGCCCAATTAGTTTTTTGATTTATTGTAGAGATGAGGTCTCGCCAAGTTGCCCAGGCGGGTCTCAAACTTGCAGGCTCAGGCAATCCACTCACCTCGGCCTCCCAAAGCGCGGGATTACAGGCTGAGCCACCGAGCCCGGCCCACTAATAGTTTACTTTGTTTTTTTCCCGGCTTTTTATGTGATGTTATGTGGTACTCAAGTAGGATTGAAAGCCATAGAGTTAAGTAAATTGCTCAAGACCATAGAGAAGAAATTTGAGCTTTCTGAGGACAGAGAATGTGTCTAACTCATTTTTGGACACCAGAAGAGGATGAATGAGCCGGGCTTGGTGGCTCAGCCTGTAATCCCACACCTTTGGGAGGCTGAGGTGAGTGGATTGCCTGAGCCCGCAGGTTCGAGACCCGCCTGGGCAGCGAGACCTCATCTCTAAAATACATCAAAAAATCAGCCGGGCGTGGTAGCACGTGCCTGTAATTCCGGCTACTTGGAAGGCTGAGGAGGAAGGTTGCTGGAGCCCAGCAGGTCGAGGCTGCGGTGGCCGGGAGCAGCCACTGCACTCCAGTCTGGGCGACAGATGAGACTCCAACTCAAAAAAAAAAAACAAAAAAAAACCAAGAGGAAGAATGAGTGAACTAGTCAGATTTCTAATTTGCAGTAACCTGTATCTAAAGCATATGATATTTTTTCAAAGCCATGATATTGCTGCTTTTGAATTTGTGTCTCTTAAACATCATGCCCAATTTAGATTTTTAAGGAGAAATTGAAAGCTAAGTTTCGAAACTTCATGTTTCCACAGAGAAGAAATCTTCTCTCATTGAGTTAAGTTTATGCAATGAAGGTTAGTAATATGGACTGATATTTTTTAAATGAAGAGTACATTTCATGCAATAATTAAGTGATAATGTACATTTTGAGCAATTTTTAGAGCAGTGAGCTTTATTCTTTGCTTAACTGAAAGATTCACAATAGTTAGATAAATGATTTCTTGTATACTCTTATCTATTGGGTGTCTGTTATGTACTAGGCATAATACTGCAGATAGAGCACTGAAAAAAGACCAAATTTCTGCTTTCATGGAACTTTTATTTCAGAATCTGATGCATTCAGACCTGGAAACAAAGCTTAGAAGATTTTTCATGAGAGGGAAAAGTCAGACAACTCATTATCAGGATAGAATGATTTTTGCAACAACATTCTTGAAATAGATTGCTCTTTGAATGAAGGAGTTTTTGAAACACTTGTTTATTCATTTACCAGACTCACTTTATGTCCAACTCTCTTCTTTGTGGGGCAGAGGTAGAGGGTGCAAGATGGAAACAGACATAAATTCTTACAGATCCCCATAATGGAGAGAAATATCACTCTGCTTTAAGACAGAAAGTGGTGAGTGCTGTGGAAGAGACACAGATAAAGAATGCTGTATGTTCACAGGTGACAGAGATTACTCACAGCTCAAGGATGGGGAGGAGAGTGAAGAAAAATGTAGAGATCGTGGAAAAATCGTAGGATTTGACCAGTACCTGCAAGGATGAATGTGATGTTCTGCATAAGCTTATTCATTATCCAATGCAGGGTTCATGCTTATCTCTTCAACTAAATAAATTACATATATGGGCAGTTTTTTCTATTCTTTAGATGTTACTTATATGACTTACAGTAATTAGATGATAGGCTTAATTTAAGCAGACCTCTTTTTTCTTTATCTTAAATCCCTTCCTTCCTTCCTTCCTTCCTTCCTTCCTTCCTTCCTTCCTTCCTTCCTTCCTTCCTTTCTTTCTTTCGTTGGAGTCTCACTCGGTCACCCAGACTGGAGTGAAGTGGCCGCTCCTGGCCACCGCAGCCTCGACCTGCTGGGCTACGGCGATCCTTCCGCCTCAGCCTTCCAAGTAGCCGGAATTACAGGCATGCGCTACCACGCCCGACTGATTTTTTGATTTATTGTAGAGATGAGGTCTCTCTGCCCAGGCGGGTCTCGAACCCACGGGCTCAGGCAATCCACTCACCTCAGCCTCCCAAAGGCACGGGATTACAGGCTGAGCCACCGAGCCCGGCTCTTCCTGTTTCTTTACACACACACACACACACGCACTCTCATGCACCCAACCACTCATGCATACACTCACTCACTCTTGCCCCTCTTTTTTTCTTCTTATTTACACTTAAACAGTCAAAGGGGCATTTCATTTGAAAAATAGATGCTCACAGGGGGACACCATCTTAACATTATTTCATAGCATCGAGCAAAACTTTTATTCCCCTGAATTAGGTAAGGGAGTTCTTGAAATGTGGAAATTATGGAAAGTCAGAATATTTCTTTCATAGATAAATTTTCTGAAAACTTGACCCAGGCTGGTCACTGAGTTTGTTATTTGAAAGAGAAAAAAAAATGCTTGAACAATTATTATAATACTATAGGAAAGGGATTGGCAGTAGTGGGAAACTGCCAGGGTAGAGGTAGTGCGATTGGCATTTGAGGGAAACTGCCAGGGGAGAGAGGGGCACACCTCATCAACAAGGGTACCTGCATAATGAAATTTTGTATACCTAACCCTGAATTGTGCCCCACATCTTTAAAATGCAAAAATCAAAATAAATAGGTGATATAATCAGAGCTTCCTTCATGGCCCCAGTAAAGTTATTCTGCCTTAACCCAGAAGAATAAGCACGCACTTAATGTGTGTTATAGACTTTTTATAAGGCTAAAGAGGTTATTTTGCATCCTCATGCATGTCATAGTTAATATATATATAGAAAACATTTAGTACTGCTGTTATGATTTCCAATAATTTTATGTATATTTGAAGTTTTCATTTTAAAAACCGCAGTTGAAGTGTTTTAAAACACTTTTTGATTGCTTAGTATTCATAGAAGGAATTCCCAAGCATGCATGTTGTATTTTCATCTCCTTCTGCTTGGTCATGCTGTCTTTCTTTTACTGGCTTTGGCTTTATTTTTTAAGTAGCTAGTCTCACTTCCTGTAAGGCTTGGGTTTTGTGGGACTCAATGACAGCCCTCCTGCAACATGCTTTTGGTTCTTTTTGAGTGTGACTTCCCTCAGTGGCTTCTTCAGAAGCCCCAGACCACAAGATGACTTCTTTTTGAGGTTCTGGAAGGCAAGAGGTCTTACATATATTAGACCATCCATTTTCTTCCTACAAGTCAAGGGTTTCAGATGTATCTACTTCCTTATCTTCTATAGAGCACCAGAATGCTGATTCAAATATATGCTATAACTAATTTAAAAAGAAAATGCTGAGGTACAAGAACAAGAATATATGTTCAAAGGTATAAATTTGAAATTAAAATTATGTAGTTAGGTGTGCATAAGACTTTTTGATTATACAGAGAGAACTCAAGTCTTCTTATCCCAAGTATTATATTTGTAAATTATATTTAATTTAAAAAATCTAAAACATTGAAATAGCTTCAAAAGATGTTTGTAGGAAATGCTTGTCAGGACAGAATAAAAGTTACATATGCTTCTTATTGAACATTGTTTAAATTATAGTGATTGAAACCACTGCCATTGCAGTATGCCAGTGCAGCCTTCTCCACAGTATTGATTTCTGAGATTGGAATTCTTTGTCTAAAATTTCCTGGATGACTCTCCCTTCCCACCCCAGACTGAAAGTCTATGAGACAGAGGAACTGAAGCTCTTTATTAATAGCTCTTTACTATTGTGTGTCTCTTATGTGCATGGAAAGTTGATAGTCTTGGATAAAAGTCTGTAAGAAGAAAATAATGCAAGTTTAAATCTGCTCTGGGTGTTGTACCATAAAAATGTTAATTAAACTTCTTGCTATAATCACTCTTCCATATGTACAATATTTCTTTTTTTTTTTTTGAGTTGGAGTCTCACTCTGTCGCCCAGACTGGAGTGCAGTGGTCGCTCCCGGCCACCGCAGCCTCGACCTGCTGGGCTCCAGCGATCCTTCCGCCTCAGCCTTCCAAGTAGCCGGAATTACAGGCATGCGCTACCACGCCCAGCTGATTTTTTGATTTATTGTAGAGATGAGGTCTTGCCGCCCAGGCGGATCTCGAACCCGCAGGCTCGGGCAATCCACTCACCTCAGCCTCCCAAAGGCGCGGGATTACAGGCTGAGCCACCGAGCCCAGCATGTAGAATATTTCTTACCTTCTTGATTAGTCTCTAAAAATGATGTTCTTCAGAGGTTAAAAGCATGCATTTCCTCAACTCTTTTCAATGGGAGCACCACTGTTAGTTGCTATTCTTTAGGTCAAGGATCTCTTCAGCTGCTTCTAAACTTGCCACATTTCCTCAAAGGAGTCCAGGCTCATCTCCATAGAGCAAACTTTTTGGATACCCTGTCAGTAAACAGCTAGAAGGCAGAATTTTTTTTTCACTGCACACTCAAATATATAATCCATGTATCACCAGTTAGTTCTTAACCCAGGCCTATGAAAAATTGTATGCCAACAAAAATATTAAATAAGCTTATTTTTAGTCTGCAAAACAGTTTTAGAGTTGTATTTGAAATAAACTATCTGAGTTTAATGAAAGGATTGTGAGTGTAAATTAAAACTTAGAATAAAAGCAGTGGAAAGATGAGAGTCAGAGATCCATCAGAGAAGTGCCCTGGAACAGGTCCAGCAACAACCCAGACCCTTCTCTGGATCCAGTTTATTATCACCAAAAAATACAGCTTGTTGGGAGTGACCATGTCTGTCCCCACATTCCAGTATAATTTAAAATGAGAATATTTGAATCAAGCTTCCCCTGTGAAGTCGGAATTTTTTTTTCTTTGAATGGCAAATGAATTATTTGGGATCAGTAAAAACTGTGTTTAATTTTAATCTGAATAGCCCTATGTGCCAACCTGTACCAGGCACTACATAAAGGATTTTTTCCCTCTTTCTATTGTAGTATTTCTAAGCCTTCAGAGAAATCTGGAATCTATAGACCCACAGTTTACAATCCGGAGGAAAATGGAGCAGATGAGAGAAGAAAAAGAGCTGGTGGAACAACTCTGTGAGGTACCCAAGAACTATTATGTAACAAAAGAATGATTTTCAGAATTGAAATAGCATTATATGTATAAATAGACTTTGAAGTGTTGCAAACAATGCTAGTTTCAAATCTACCTCGGTCACTGACGGCATGTTTGCTATTGAGCAAGTCACTTAACATTCTGGAGTTTCAGTTTCTTCATGTACTAAAAAAAAAAAAAAAAGTTCCAATCTACCTTAGTGGGTTCTGATAAGGAATACATGAAGTAATAGAAATACTTAATACATATGTATAAATGCTGACACTATTTCAATTCAGGTATACTTTTAAAAAAATGCCTGTCATTTATTTACTCGATGATAATAATCCCAGTAATTTACAGATGTTTATAGTTATCCTCCTTCTGTACCCTTAACTGGTCAGAGCTTTTAAATCAGTCATTTGAGTTCTTACCAAGGATGAAGTCTTGTGCCAGGTGCCATCAAGCATGTTAAGCTTAGGGATCGCAGGGACTAGTGGCTGTCTTTTCCTTATCTTATTTCTTAGTTCCTGGTGGGCAGGTATTTATCTACCCACATGGCTTTTGTGTCTGGTTATAAAGATCGTACATAAATGTTAACTAGCAGTACAGGCGTCAGTCACCAAAGAAGACGACATTGGTATTGGCTATTAGCACATTATCAATTGCTACACAACTGCTTTATGTTCTAAGAGAAGTATCAGAGCTATGAAGTATCAGAGCTATGAACCAGAAGAGGATAAAAATGCTTCTTGGAGGACAGTTTTTATATCAAATTTTCTCCTTTCACTAGCAAATGTGTATTGAATTCTATGCTATACTAGGTGATATTCTAGATGATGGATGTAGGAGAGAAAAAAAGGTCCCTGCTGTTATGAATCTTCTGCTCTGTTGGGAAGAGATAGTAAATAAGAAGGAAATAAATATACAATTTCAGATAGCCATGAGTTTTACAAATGGACAATGAATCCGACAAATAAGATTTAAAGTGAATCAAGATAGGTCAGCATCTTTGTTGTAGCAGATGATACTTTATACAATTTAGCAGGTAGTCAGGAGGAAAAATTGTTTTCAAAATCTCTTACCACCACTTTAAGCCATTGTGGTTGGTTGAGCCAGCACCAGGGGAAAGCAGACCTCTGTCCTTTGCCAGAGCATTTGTACATGCTGTAAATTTGGAAGCTGAGCTTTTTGAGCTCTGTGCAAATGAGGTCAGAAGCTCAGATATTTCTCTCAAACAGTGATATCTTATCATTTAAAGTTAGACATGAGTTATATTCATCACTTATGTTTTAATTTAGTGATATAAAACTAGAGACTAAAAGAGTACTTTAAAAAAATCATACCTACACACAAGGAAGTTCTGAAAGATTTATATAGCATTATTATATTCACTGTTTTTCAAGTGTCCATTTATTACAGATCACCAATTAAGTCATCCTTTCATAGTTAAAAGGAACTTTTTTTTTTTTTTTTTTTTTTTGCAGAGCAAAGACTTCTATGTGAGGTTTTCAAACGGATTCTTCTACTTCTTCTTCCAAGTTGATGGAGCGGACTTACTTTTACTTTTTCCTCCCACTAAGTACACCTGAAACCCTTAGACATTATCTACAAAACAAACAGAAGAGCACTCTGAAAGGTAATGAGAAGAAGGCAGACTGGCTAGAATCCTTGGGGTATGAGGAACACCATGGTGGTGAGCTCCATGGGTTTTCTTTTTTGCCTTAAGTATCTCAGACTTGGAGCTGGGAACTTGGAAACACTAACGGGCACAGACCTTAGAAAAAAAAATAAAAAGGCTTTCTCTAGCCAAACAACCAGGAAGAGGGCAAGATATAAAACCTTTGTTTTGTTTTGGTTTTTTTTGAGTTGGAGTCTCACTCTGTCACCCAGACTGGAGTGCAGTGGCCGCTCCCAGCCACCGCAGCCTCGACCTGCTGGGCTCCTGTGATCCTTCCACCTCAGCCTTCCAAGTAGCCGGAATTACAGGCATGCACTACCATGCCCGGCTGATTATTTGATTTATTGTAGAGATGAGTTCTCGCTGCCCAGGTGGGTCTCGAACCCGCGGGCTCGGGCAATCCACTCACCTCAGCCTCCCAAAGGTGCGGGATTACAGGCTGAGCCACCGAGCCCAGCTTATAAAACCTTTAGACAATAAATACTCTAGCTAAACACAACAAGCACCAAGAAAATACTGTGGTCCCCCCTCACCAATGCCAGCAAAGGCTGAGTCAGGAGGCTAGACTTCTGCCATGCTGGGATGGAAGGCCAAGTCAAGAACCAGAAATTCCATCTCTATCTGCTCCCAGAGTTTCAGTGGAGACCACATGGGGAGACTGGATTTCCAGCCCCACCCAGGAGTAAGGAGGCACCTACTCCCATCCCTAAACCCTGGCCAACTGAGACCCAATAGGAAACTTAGACTTCCACATTCATCTGGCAATAACAAGATGGTAGCCCCTTGCCCTGCTGGAGCAGTGTATAAAAATCATAATAATAACAATGATTATTATTATTATTATCATAACCAGTTAAGACAGAGGTTTAAATAGGATCCGGAGTCTTATAACATACTAAGAGACTATCCAGTATTTTGATTTTTAATAGAAAAATCCCTCATTATACCAAGGACTGGAAGATCTCAAACTGAATAAAAAAAGACAATCTACAGATGACAGCACTGATATGGCAGAGATGTTAGAATTACCTGACAAATGTTTTTAAACAGCCATGGTAAAAACGCTTCAGCAAGCAAATTTAAAATGTGGTTGGAAGAAAGGAAAAGCACACCTCAGCAAAAAAACTAGAAAAATCTCAGCAAAGAATTAGGAAACATAAAGAAGAACCAAATGGAAATTTGGAACTGAAAAATACATTAGAAAAAAGCCCCCAGTGGATGGGCTCCACGGCAGAATGTAGGTGACAAAGAAAAGAACTGGAATGAAACTGGAAGAAAGAACAACAGAGAGAAAACAAATTAACAATAAATAAACAGAGCCTCTGGGACCCTTGGGGGTTTAGCAAATGCTCTAATATCTGGGGGATCCAGAAGGAAAGGGGAATGAGAGCAAGACTGAAGAGGAACTCTGTGGTGGGAGGGGAGTGGTATGGCTAAAAGGGCAACAGGAGAGATCCTTGTGATGACAGGAATGTTGTATATTTGACTCTGTCAAGGTCAATAGCCTGGTTGTTTTACAGGTTGTTACCATTCAGGGAAAGGGCACAGGGTACATATAGTCTGTTTATTATTTTTTACAACTGCATACGAATCTAAAATTATCTCAAAATCAAAGTTTAATTTTTTACAAAAGGACAGAAATTGACTTCTTAACTAAAATGTAGTCTAAGAGAAAAGCAGCATCCCTTATTCCCTCTTCTATCCCAAACAGACTGAATCAGTCAGGATTTGTTGTTTACTTATCACTTCATTCTGTTTTTATATTTTCATAGCCAAGGCTGAGAAAACCTTGAACTCAAGAAGTGATTCCATTATTCCTTTCATTCTACTAACTAAAAATTTCAGACACAGCTGAATTTGTTTTTATACAGAGGGATTTTTGATATTGCCTGAAAAGTTTTCAGTGTCAGTGTTGTTCTTATTCTTACCTTCCATAATGAAATGAAGGCCTCTATTCATAAATACCCATAATTATATTTTACCCTCAGCAGCCTCAGTGTTGATAGCAATTGGCTTCCTTCTAATTTTCCCAACAGAGCATCGAGATGAGACTGAAGGTCAGTCTGCATGAAGACCTGGGGGTAGCTCTCATGGATGTTGTCCTCTGCCATCTGGTCAACCATATCCGCCCACGGTCTGTTGCAAGCATCCATGTTCCCTCACCGGCGGTTGTAAGTAGATTTGACATAAAACAGACTCATTTGGGGGCATTGGTGTTGGTTTAGGATGCCAGTGGCATCACTGGGACCTTGCTCACATGTTTTCTGTTGGGTCCCAAACAACTAGAAGAGTGGAAAAGGAATGAAGGAATGAGTCTAAATAAAGCAATATCTTCATGGTTAAAAGGGAGACTATTTAAAAATAAATATGTAAATGATAGAAACATAATTTTGTTTCAAATAACAAGCAATTCACTTTAAAGAAATTACTGCTTGAGATGCTAACTTAAAGACTATAGGAACATAAAGATTCACTTCTCCCAAAGGGTTATTTAGACAGTGAGATGTCTTTTCAGAAAGCTCCTTTGTTGATGAGTTGGCAACTTTCCTTCTAAATGGAATCTCTTTCTTCTGTTTGTCATTGGGGGTTTCAGGATAACTCTGACAAGATGTGGATTCTGTGGAAAATAGCACTAATAACCTTCAAGAGGTCAGTTAACAGTCATGAATTCAATAATTCTTTGACCAGTCACACATTCAAGGACACATTGGTGATACTGGGAACACAGTAGGGAAAGGGAACATGAGTGAGATTTCATAATCCCCCCAAGTCTTCATCTACACTGTAGGGGAGAGAAAGCCTGCTCATCCTCTTTCTGGATATCCCAGAGCATGTTAGAAGCCAGAAGAGAGAGCTACAGAGTTAGTGTTATGGTCATTCAGGCATGTGTGGAGGGATAGGAGATAAGCTTGTCTTTGATGCCTACAAAGTTTTAGACAAACAGAGAAGAATTTCTGCTCAAACTCTTGCCATTTGTTGGAGGAGACAGAAGAGTTTAGGAGCTAAAAATATAAGGTGGGATTCAAATTCCAGAAGTACTTCTAAAAGCCATAGAAGTTTGGGCAAGTTATTTATCATCTCTTTAACTTGATTTGCTCTTCACTATAGTAAAAATGTTCTTGTGAGGATGAAATGATGTATGACATGCAATATACAGGAACATGTAAGTCATCATTATCATTAGTGTTTATATGGCAGATGTTCAGAATTCAGCGCTCCTAGTGTTGAGATACAATGTTTATAAAATGTCATACCATCAGTGTGTTGGGTGGAAGCTCATGATCCTCAGTAAAAGAAACAGAGTGGGAAATATCACTTCTAGACTTTAAACTTTACTATAAGGCTACAATAATCCAAACAGTCTGGTATTGGTACAAGAACAGATGTATAGACCAATGGAACAGTATAGAAATTCTGGAAGCAAAACCTCAGTTTCCCAATCAATTCATCTTTGACAAAGCCTCCACCAACAACCACTGGGGAAAAGAGAAACTATTCAGTAAATAGTGCTGGGAAAACTGGCTGAGCACATGCAGAAAGAAGAATGAAACAGGACCCCTATCTATCATCACACACAAAAATCAACTCCAAGTGGATCAAACACTCAAATGTAAAACCTCAAACTATCTTAGAAAATGTGGGAGACACCGTTATAGAAATCAGAATAGGCAACCAATTCCTGATCAAAACTCTAGATGCCCATGTCATAGGAGATAACGCAGACCACTGGGACCTCATCAACAGAAAATCTGCAAAGCAAAAGAAACCATCAAGAGAGTGGGGAGACAGCCCACAGAATGGGGAAAAAATATTTGTCAATTGTATATCTAACAAAGGTCTAACATCCAGGATCCACAAAGAACTCAAATGTACAGAAAAGAAAAACAAACAGCCCCATTAAAAAATGGGCAAAAGACATGAATAGACACTTCTCAAGACAACATATACAGGCAGGCAATAGACACATGAAAAAATTCTCAGTCTCATTAATCATAAGAGAAATGCAAATCAAAACCACATTGAGCTGCCACCAATCTCTAGTAAGAATGGCCATCATTAATAAAACAAAAAACAACAGATGCTGGTGAGGATACAGAGAAATGGGAGTACTTCTACCCAGTTGGTGAGAGTTTAAACTAATTCAGCCTCTATGGAAAACAGTGTGGCTATTTCTAAAAGATTCTAAAAATCAATCTTCCGCATGACCCAGCAATCTCCCTTCTGGGAATATACCTGGGGCAACTCAAATCACTCTACAAAAAAGATACTTGTGCACACGTTTATTGCAACATTATTCACAACAGCAAAAACATGGAATCCACTGTGCTGCCCATCGCAACTGGACTGGATAAAAAAATGTGGCACGCATACACAAAGGAATATTATGCAGCCATAAGGAAAGACAAAATTATGGACTTGGATGGATTTGGAGTGTATCATACTTAGTTATCTATCACAGAAATGAAGAATTCAGTACCACATTTTCTCACCCATAAGTAGACCCTGAATACCTATCATAATACCACAAGAAGGGGACTGGCAGTAGTGGGACACTACTGGGTGGGGGGCACATAACATCAATAAGGGTGCCTGATCCTAATCCAGGTGGAGTGAGGTCCAATGGGAGGCCCAAAACTTCACCTGTAGTTAAACCACTTATGCATGAAATTCTGACTTGTACTCCACAACTAAAATAAAACAGAATAAAACAAAATAAAACACACTGTCATCCATAGCTGACAGTGCAGACACAAATGCATTTATTGCTTACTATGTGCTAGAGACCATACTTGGTGCTAAAGACACAGCCACGGAGCCAAAAGACACAATCTTCAAGGTTACTTAGCTCTAATATAGCCAGAAATATGAACAAGTGAAAGGAAACTTACGTATGTGTCAATGTGTGTGTGCATGAAGAGAGACAGATCTAGATCTAGATACAGATACACAGTTATGTAGTTCTTAGACATGATGAGATCGCTATAAGGGAAATCAAACAAATGAGGGAACCTAGTCCCAAGAGGCCAAGAATGACTTGCCTTCTGTGCACACTGTGGTAGGGGAGGAAAGGGAGCTAGTGATGCTAAGAGTCCAGGGAACTGGGGGACAGGGTGGGCATAGCTTTCTAGGCAGAGGGCCACCAGAGCCTGGAGCAGAGAGCAATGGCACACACGTGAGACAGAAAGTAGGTTCTACAACCACAGCATAGCCAGGTCCTGTCAAAAAGGGCTTCAAGATGCTCACTGAGAGCCGGGCTCGGTGGCTCAGCCTGTAATCCTGCGCCTTTGGGAGGCTGAGGTGAATGGATTGCCTGAGCCCGTGGGTTTGAGACCCACCTGGGCAGCGAGACCTCATTTCTACAATAAAATAAAAAAAAAAAATCAACCGGGCGTGGTAGCGCATGCCTGTAATTCCGGCTACTTGGAAGGCTGAGGCAGAAGGATCGCAGGAGCCCAGCAGGTTGAGGATGCGGTGGCCGGGAGCAGCCACTGCACTCCAGTCTGGGCGACAGAGTGAGACTCCAACTCAAGGGTTTTTTTTTAATCAAGAATAGATGTTGGATTTTGCCAAGAGCCTTTTCTGCATTTATGATATTATCATGTGGTTCTTGTTTGCAGATCTGCTGATATGTTTAATAATTATACTGAAGGTCTTGTGGATGTTAAACCAGCCCTGCATCCTGGGGATTAAGCCTACTTGGTTATGGTGGGTAATTTTTGAGATATGTTGTTGAATCTGATTTGCTGGAATCTTGTTGAAAATTTTTGCATTTATCTTATCAGGGATATTGGCCTGAAGTTCTCTTTCTTTGTTGGATCTTTGCCGGGTTTGAGTGTCAGTGTGATGTTACCTTCATTGAATTATTTAGGAAGAGTTCCATCTTTCTCGATTGACTAGAATACTTTCAGTAGGATTGGTATCAGCTCCTTCTTATATGTTTTATAGAATTCCACTGAAAAGCCATCTTTTTAGGACTTTTTTTGGTAGATAGTTTTCTTATGATGGAGTCAATTTCCTGGGTTGTTATTGATCTATTTAGGGTCTCTATTTCTTCTTGTTTCAACCTTGGGAGGTTGTGTGATGTCAGAAAGCCCTCCATTTTGTTCAAGTTTTTAAATTTGTTTCCTTACAAGTGTGCATAGTAACTTCTGATAATTTTTTGTATTTCTTCAAGGTCGGTTATAACTTGATGTTTTGTGTTTCTGAGTGTGTTTATTTGGGCTTTTTGTCTCTTTTTACTTGTCATTCTGGCTAGGGTTTTATCAATCTTGTTTATCCTTTCAAAGAACCAGCTTTTTGTTTCAGTGATTTTTTTTCTATAATATTTTTGTCTTCTATGTCCCGTATTTGGGCTTTTACTTTGGTGATCTGGATTCTTCTGCTGATGTTAGGGTTTTGGCGTTCTTGCCTTTCTGGCTCCCTTAGGTGATTTGTCAGGTTGTTGACTTTTGATCGTCTCTATTTTGTTGATGTATTTTTGTACAGATATGAATTCCCCTTTGTACTGATTTCATGGTATCACAGAGGTTTTGGTAAGATGTATCTTTGTTTTCAAGAATCTTTTAATTTTTGTTTCATTTCCTGTGTTGATTCAGGAGTTGTTCAGCATTGTGCTGTGTAGTGTCCACGTCTTTGTGTGTTAGGGGGAGATTATGTTGGTAGTGATATTTATTTTTATTCCACTGTGGTCTGAGAAGGTGCATGGTAGAATTTCGATCTTATGGAATTTGTTTATGCTTGATTTATGACTGAGTATGTGGTCAGTCTTGGAGTATGTTCCATGCAGTGATGAGTAGAATGTATATTCCATGGTTGTTGGGTGAAGTGTACTGTAGTTATCTATTAAGTGCATTTGGTAAAGTGTCAAGTTAAAGTTCTGGATATCCTTATTAATTTTTTGCCTTAATGACCTTTCTAGGGTTGTTGTTGGTGGATTTAGGTCCTCAGTTATGATAGCATTAGAGTCAATATCCTTTTTTAGTTTACTTAGAAGTTGCTTTTTAAATCCAGATGCTCCTGTGTTGGGTGCATATATATTTATGATGGATATTTCTTACTGATAGATTGAACCTTTATCATTATATAATGTTCTTCCATATCTGTTTATCCAGTTTGCCATTTTATGTCTTTTCAGTGGTGCATTTAATTCATTGATGTTAAGGTTGACTAT